TTTGTCTTTTTAGCACAGTGATGCAAAAAGAAACCAATATAAAACAAAACTTTACGTAGTGTCTTACGTGCAGTAACCGTCCAAGTGTTCTGGAAGCCTTAACATTGTTCTAGAACGCGTTGTTTTAAATCGGTTTTCAGATGCCACCAAAGTTTGGTGATTACTGTTGATTATCGGGTGAGGTGTCGTAACTTCGGGGCTTGTGTCGATCAACTGTATGGGGTGAAAATCGACATTATTACGCGCCCTTGAGACAATCGATGCCAACGCCATCGTTAGTTCCGAGTTCATCGATGATATATTACTTAGGTTCACGATGAAAGACTGAAGGATTCTTCGTATATCGTTTCGAAAGGTCGTCAAAAGGGGTCGTGACATGCAAAAACGTGCGTACTATGTCGTAAGGCAGGTTGAACGCAATCATCGGTCTGTTAAGGTCGAATGCAGACAGATTTAACTAAACCTATGGTATTTGTAAGCCTGCTCGTGAGGGGCTTCAGATCCATTGTACTGATTCTGACCATCGAGTGGAACAGTTCGCACACGTTAAGAGGTCAGTGTGTCTATTCAATCTGTAAAGGGTCCTACCAAATCCAGACGAACATGGCCGAAACGAGCATCGGAAGTTTTGAAGGAGTTTAAGTTACATTTGTTGTATCTAATCACCAGTGATTTCTGGCTAATTACACAGAAGTGTGCCCGCTCGCTCCCATGTTTATTCATATCAGAAAGCGAAATCCTTCTGTGAATGCTAAGAGGGCTGCAGGAATAGTCAGATTCCACCAGAAAGTCTAAGATCTCTTCCGTAACATCTTAGGCCGTACTGAACACCATTAACAGGACACTATAATTGGTAATGGGAATGGGATGGTTTAATGGTTGCTCAAACAGTAAGATGAGAAAGTTTGTGTAACGTATTAAAGACACTGAGTCGATAATATTTCGGCACAATCGAACGATTTCTACTTTTGGATTTGTCACATAGTACAGTTTTTTACCCGCTCCCAAATTGTTTAATACATTGTTTCGGGGTTGTGGAAGATAACTCGTGCTGAAGATCAGTGTCTTACTTGTGAAGCATGATGACTTTAAGAAAGTCGATTCCTTAGAAACCGTTCAAGGGAATTATACAGGACGAGTGGTCTGCAACTACATTGTTTGGCCCACAAATGTGTCGTATATTTGAAGTGAATTGCGAACTGTTGTTCAGTTGTCGAGACTCTCAAGAGGAGTTCCTGTCTGAAGACAAGCTTGGGGAGGTCGAGGGTTTTTGGTAGGTAAATAGGGTGAATACTCGGCCTTCAACAGTGTTGAAAGTGCCGTACAGCACATTATATGGCTAGTAGTTTCCTACCGAACGTTCTCTACCTCGATTCAGTATCACCAAACCGTCTTCAGAAGAATGCCAATGGTTGACAGGTGCGATAAACTCATTGTTTTAAGACTCCTTTGATTGCTAGGTCGGATGCTGATGTGTGCCTCGGTGTTCTGGTGTGCAAATACAGTTACTTTTGCGATGAGTTCCTTAACTATGGAGAACTCTTCTTTCCCATTCTCATCCAAATCCATAAGTTTCGCGATTCCATGAATTTATGTGAAAGATGCACAAATCCGTATGAATAAAAAAAAACTTACCAGGCAGTTGAACGTACGTAATTGCTTGACTGTGGTTGTTCCTAGGTAATCCAGAATGGCCGCCACATTGCTTATCAGAGAGCTGAAGCATTGAGCATCAAAAGTGTGTCCGAGAAAACCTAGGGAGTCGGTGCCGATTTGACATCCCTGAATGTTGACATTGATGTCGTGATTTTACAGTCGTTCAAAGACAAGGTCTACATGCTGAAGATGAGATTTTCTGTTTGAACTTGCAATCAAGCCGTTGAGTAGGCTTCTGGAGAACTTCAACGGAGCTTCATGAGGCCCAAAAGGAGCCGAAGGGTTCTAGCCAATCAGAGTATGATGGAACGTTCTAGAATTTCGACGTGGCGTGCTACTATTGGTCGGTAGCATAATATGTCGTTAACGGATTGGCTGAAATATGATGTTGATTTAACAGACGCCAACATCTATAAATACCTATGATTTACTGTACAAAAATGAACCTTGGGATAAAGTATTTTCTCTCATACTTGTGTCTTCTCTCTGGTGTTCAAGTCGCTGTGTAGTTCTAGACTGCGGGTTACCAGAATAGCTTAGGAAAACGAATATAGCGTTCGATCGACAAGACTTATCACTAGCAATCAACATACTCATGTACGAAGTTGAGACCTTAAAAACATCATCGATGGATCTCTGGAAAGTTTGTGCTCCATTCCTTAAGCCGAAAGAGGTGTGTAGAAATTCGAAGAGATCAAAAAGGATGATGATAGAGGTTTTATAAATGTCGTTACACTCTTTAACCAAAACGATTTTCGAAAAAATGATTGTAGCTGTCAAGGTAGCTGTCAAATAGTGAATATGAGAAAACGGGTAACGATCAGAAATGGTTTTCTCACTCAATCGCCGATAGTCACCAAATGAACGCCGATTGTTGCTGTCTTTTTTAAAGACTGTGTGCATGTGAAGTGTCCATGAGCTGTTTGATGGCCGAATAATCCCTTAGTCTATCATGTGGTCGAATTTGTTTATAACCAACCCCAGGTTTTTGAAGACTGGTCGTCGCGCTTTCAAGAATACAGGTGACACCGTGGTCGAGATGTAATTTATAACACTTTTGGTTATACACAGTTTTTGGTCGCATTCGGTACAGTTTAAAGCGCTTGTTGAGTATCCGCTGGTAGTGTGGGTTGATTACGTGCCTAAGAGTAACAATCTACAACCGAAACAGATCACAAAAACAGAAAATCTGGTAGTTACATCTAATGGACTCCATTTGCGCGTGTTAGTGAGTAGATTATGGTGTCGTAACAGATCTATACCAATGATTGACACAAAAACATCTGCAACAACGAAGATTTCGTGAACGGGTTTGCATAATTTCATGTTGAGGTAAACATATCGCCTACCATATGTGGTATTCGGTTTGCCATTTGCCACCCGTAAGTTGAAAAGTGTTCGTGAAGTCGGTCTTTGCTCGAAGAATCCTAATTTCTGTGCATGTCGACAAGGTAGCGGGCTTTTGTCATTACATCAGTGATATTAAACAGACGGCTACATCCGCCGGCTACGGTTGCCATTAGTGTGCGTTTGCTAGGACGCTCCCTGAAAGAGATTTCACGTCCGTCGGTTTGAAGCTCGGAAAATGCGAGGGTTTTTTGAAATTTAGAGAAAAGCTGTATGAACAAGTGCTCGTCAAAAGTCCGTTGACAAATGACCTCTCACATTCGCAGCAACATTTCTGCTGCTGAGCCATGTTGCAGCTTGGTGTTATTGAAGAGCTAGTCTAACCTTTGTCGGTCGGTCAGATCTCTGCGCTTAAGAATAACCTTTTTTAAAGTCTCGTAATGTTCACAAACACCAGTAGTAAATTACTAGGGGCGACGTACTCGTTGACTTCACTGCTACGAAGAACTGAGCATGTGGGTCTTACGCGTCACGCTTATGGATGTCAGTTTCTGCGTGGCTTCGATATTGTCGGGCCAAAATGGAATCAGCTCAAGTGAGTGAGGAGATAGTCTTACTCTTAAGTAACTTAGGAGTCCGTTCCGCCATGATAAATATAAAGTGTGACAATGAAAAAAAAGAAAGATATTCGAAAATATGGAAACAGCATCACAATACGCAAAGAAGTAACAATAAAAAAATAACACCTAATGTCCCGCAAACTAATGAGGTTGGCATCAAATGATAAAGACTTGAGTTTGGGGATTTAATTGCCGCTACAGTGTCCTGGCTTAGGTGCTGCAGCTTTCGATACGTAAAGTCAGTGCTCAGGTCCACTTCTGAGATTCCTGATCAGTTGCAAGTGATACCCTCTTCGATGTAGTTTGTATGGGTAGGTTGATATGTCCGAAAGTACTGTTCTGATGGAAGTTCGGCAGCGTCACCAACATTTTTGGTTAGGCCATCAGGACTTGATATTTTTATGAAGTATTTATGCGAAAGTGCCGGATACTTTACATGCCTTGAAAGTTGAAACAAAACTTTAAACATCGAGAAACGGAACTTCAGACGTAAACGGTTTGATCTCGGTTTTTGAACTTTCTTCGAATGTCCTCTCAAATGATCGGTTCTAGACGGAAGCAGAAGATAAGACATGTTAATATCAAGGTCATCGTTCAGTATACGATAGGCCAATATTAGATCACCCCGTACTCTATGGTAAGATAACGGAAATAAGTTAAGGTGTCTCAGTCTGTCTTCATAAGATAGGCCAGATAGACCTTGTACCATCTTAGTAGCTCGTCGTTGGACTCTTTCTAGCATATCTGCTTCATATTTGAAACAAGGACTCGCTGCTTGAATCCCGTAATCTAAATGTGGTCGCACATAAATCGGGTATAGTAATCTAAACATTTCACCATCTAAATACTGGAAAGACCTATAGCCTTTTGCAGCAGCAGCCTTACAGTGACTAGTGGTTTTGAGATCATTGCTTAATATGACTCCTAAATCTTTATAGTTTCTTGCTTTGGGTAGCACGAATCCACGTAGTGTATAGTCATACGATTCATCAGAGTTATTTAACTGCATCACTACACTCTTATTAAGATTTACTTCTAGTGACCACCTGTCTAACCATGCCACCAATGAGCCAAGATCGTCCTGTAATACTATTCTATCCGACATACTATGTATGGGTCTCCAAACCTTTATGTCATCAGCGAAGAGTAGAACGGATGATTTTGCTACAGTTGGCAACTCCTCTTTTTGTACTCCATTTATGTTTGGCATCATTGTTACCTTCTTTAGCTGTTTCAAAGTTCAAGATCAATTTCGATTTTCGTAACTTTTCCGGTGAGACTAATTTATTGACGATCTTTGAGTGACTCTGGACTGACCTTGAGAGTGACCACTAAATAATCACGACCAAGTGAGTGTTATAATCCAGTGTGAGGAATTATAATTTACAGTTGATGATTAAGGTTAGGGATTAGGTTTCGGGTTTTCATCACGAACTGACATTAGCTATGATGCCAAAACTATTTATTCAAATGGATAGGTGAATTTCGCGCCAAAATCCCAGACTTATTATCTTATACGTGATTGGTTTGTCCATAAATTATAGTCTCTCCGCTCTTCCATTTAATTCAGAATACCTCTATCAAAACAAGTTCATCTTTTGGGGCTGTAAGACTGTGTCAAAACTAGCATTGATTACTCCTTTAAGGGCTACTTGACAAATTCCATCGAGTCTTCTACTAAGCCATACGAGTCTCAGAATCTCCATGCTTAATTCATATCCTCTCCCGATACAGCTCAGTTAGGTAGCCATCGTCTTCATTTTCCCACCTCTAACCTTTAATCTCACTATCTTATATAGTCTCTTTTTTACACTGAAAACATTTTCCGGAGTATCTAAAATACAGAGTACGGGATAAATGTTCCTTTGAACGATTCTACTGTTGGTTTCAAGTGACAGTTCACTTCTAGATAGTACACATGGGTGAGAGTTAAAGTTATCAAGTTTTCACTTAATAAACTACTTATGTGATGCATTTTTCAAGTGTTCATGCAATAGCACTATTTCTAAAATATATGATTAAATATTTTCTTCATTTACTTTTCTTCAGACCATAGTATTATAATAGTATTCAAAGGGATTTCGATGATCTGTAAGTGAAAACATCCATCCTATCAACTACCATCTTGAAGTCCCGATAGATAACTCCATCATGAAAATCTGAGTTTATCAAAATTTGGGAAAATTTTAGCCTCATTGCTTAATTCTCCTGAGTAAAATGCAATCTCGAAGTCGTCCTCAAAGCAACCTCAAAAGTAACTGACATTTTTTTTAACGTGTTAAGACTTTGGTCTAGATGACTCGCGAAATAGGTTTCAAATAGAACTGGAATTTGTCCAATGTCTTGCGAATCCTAACTATCTAAATTGTATGTTTATGTTTTCTTATTATCCCTAGTTCTTGCACAGCAAGGTTGGTTTGAAAAGCCAAATTTCATAAAGTATTTGAAGTATTTACTGTATTGGAAGGACCCTGCATATTCAAGATATCTCATGTAAGTTAACTCAAATTTGACTCAAATACCATATTTCATGATTATTTATAGAGTGAAATCAAAAAATACAATCTTCCTAAACGTTGTCATGACTAAAAGTGTATCTTCATAACCTTATGTATTGACTAAGCATTTACTTCTGTCGCCCACATGTTGGCTCGCCATTTTGCCACATATATATATATATATATATATATATATATATATATATATATATCAACCTTTATTCTCGAGGTGGGAACTTTTTCGAAGCTACAAGCTTGTTTCAGCATGTCATGAGTGTGACTAATGCTTATGTCTGCTTTCCTATGGGCGGATCAGTGCTATGTGCAGTCAATCTGTCTACATAAACTATCATGTGGTAAATTTATTGACTAGCTTAACATAAGATGAGCTTAACACACATAAGAACCTCGTGAGCATCTAAAAATGTACTTCAGAAAACCATCGGTTTGGTACAAATATATGTTATTGGTAAAATCCTTTTGTATCCAAGTCAAGTCGCAAACCTTGATGTTAAATCTAAAGGGTTTTGAAAAAAGGTCAGATTTCGTGCAGGGAGACAGCTCAGTATGTTTTTGATAAACCAGTTTTTTAGCGATTACGACTTACTGAAGCGTTGTCACGTAAATGTCTCTATAAATAACCATGCGAACTGACAGTTGTATCAATAATAATTTCGGTCTGAAGTCGCAGTGTGCTACTAATGAGTAGTGCAACTATATCGTATAGTAAATAGTTTATCAATTCAGGTTTTTAACCACGTAAAATATATTCTCCTTTCATTTCTAGTTATCCGTATTGTCTTCACCTGCTTGATCTTTTGCAACATGCGGAATTTCGCTCTGCTCTTGCACGAGGTCAGATATGCCGAATGATCGATGATCAAATTCTTCTTCACTGGCAGCACTATATGCGTAAGCGTGCAGCTCTTATAGCTAAACACGTTGAAGAAACTATACAACCCACTTAACTTCACGTCTGAGCTATGGAATGTGCTAAGTCGTTCATAAATTGATTTTCATTTTCAGACTTGTGTTTTTCTTTCTGGAGATGTCTTTTTGCCATCATATCAGGCGTTTACTAAACACTGAGCTCTTTGTTTGGTCTCATTATACTTGGATTTTTTTACGAAATAAGATTTTGTTGACAAAGTAAACCAAGATCATGTAAATTCATTTCAGTGCATTAGCTTTAATCGATTTCTGTTAAATTTCTAATATTTGATTTATTTTGCTCAACTCTTTATATTAAGTTACTCTTCTTGAAATTAAGTATATATTTGGGTATTAGCCTCCCAGATGGAACCTGCAGTTTTACTCTGAACACTTCGAACTGACTGTTGGGATAGTTCGCGTACACCGTAGGCGCATTTAGTTCTGGTGTCTGTTGGAGTGCTTAATAACTGTACTGTTTACTTGTCTCAATTCCAACATAGGGCAATTATCTATGCCGAGACCTAATTGCATTTCAAACAAAAAATTATTTTTAACTTCAGCGAATAATTGATTATCGTATGCTGAACTTATGCTAATTGTTGTTAGCAGTCTAATTTAGTACTGTTCTTTTAACTCCACTTATGCAAATAGATGTTTGAATACCGACGTCTAATCACCGCGTAAACCCTTAATCAGTGTACCTATAATTTGTTAGCATTTCTCATTATCCCTGTCCTATACTCAATAAGACGTTTCATTGTCTCTTATTTCTACCCTTATGAGCCTAATTATTCACTTCTAAAAATAGTTTTTTTGGGAAATCATAGCGTTGTACATTATGGTTAGTCTACGTCGAAGTAGGAGAAAATAATAAATTGAAGCGGAACGACGATCTATTTTAATATTAAGGTATACAAGCATTGTTCATGAAATCAAGAAAATGCAATTGAAAGATAGGGTATATAATACTAGTTCTCCGTTATTAAGTATCGATATAATCATACTACAAATAGGCGCCCGGGACATTTGCTTTTAGCAAATGTCATTGAAATTACAAATTTTCTGTGTGATCGCATTCAGAATATTACGCTGGTTTTCTACTAGCTATTTATCAAAACGCGACTATCAAATAAGCTCATTTAACTAATACTCATGCAAATAGATTTTGCATATTAATGATATGGCTTGTGCGTAGCGTTACAAAAGAATAAGATTGATTTATATTTAGAATGTTCTTAACCTTTAACCGTTATTGTAGAACAGCTTATGGTTAAAGCGGAGAGGTCATAGTAGCGGTACATTTTGATAAGGAATACCACCGGGTACAATTATTACTGAAGGGATTTGTTAATTTTCATACTAATCTAAGTTACTGACTTGTTTCAAGTCTCTTCACCATATTCTTTAGTTGTTGTTTAATAAAAAATGAAAACAAACTGCATTGGGACTATAATTACACTAGCAATTACCAAGTATGTTAAAAAATTTCAAAGGAATATTGATTATTAACCATCCGACTTAGTTTACTATTCGTCAACTTCACTAACCCTACTTAAGTATACCACGTTCAGTTAGATGGTTGCAATAGTAGCTAAGGTCAAATCACAAGTTAGAAGTTCTGAGCTTAGATGTAGGAGATAATACTTTAGGAGCATTAATGTTTGAACTAATAAGAACGCAATATATGGCTGAGATGATACTACTAGGCTTTTGTTTTGAAGAATAAATTATAGGGCAGGACTTCACCTGATAATGCGAGATATAGATAAATATTTGTTTTGGTTGGTTTCATTTCAGTTCCCTTCCTTACACCCGTTTAGGATACTTGAAAATTAAGTGGTAATTATTGTACACAAATTACTTAAAGTACTCATGTGTTTACTAGGTAAGTAATTTACTTTTTTTGAACGACTATTAGTTATGCTGGACTGGTATGGCTCATGATTCCTTTAACTTCTTTTAAGCATTCGATTGTGTTTACCATATTCAATGCAGAAATAAGCTGTCCTTTATGTTGATCAGTGAGGAAAAGATAGACTACATTTTTGCTAATGAATCTAACAGTACTCTATCAGCTATAACCACGATTATCTGATTGCTTAACTCATTTAAGAAAAAAGCTTTATAAGAATAAGCAGTTGGATATCAGTACTGACCGTTAATTATTATTTGAAACATTTCATCAAACAAAAATACGCACGGTTGTATTTGTATTTTTACTAAGTAAGATGTCAATTTGCAAGTAATCTGTCATATTTTAGCTCAAGAGTGCATGAATTCTGAATAAAGTCTTCGTTACTATCAATCTTTTTACTGTCTATAATCATACGTTGTGACCAACTGTTACTTTCTGTAAGTTCCCCAATAACTGTTGTTCCACAGGTATAGTTAAATCAACTGTTGTGGCGGTTGTTTCACGATATAATGTTGTCCAATTTGCTTGGTTATTCACTACGTTAGTTGCATTCGGGGCTGAACCAATAGCACCACAACCACGTAGTCCATGTATAAATACACTTGGTCTCGGTACTTGTGTATAACCATCCTTTTTGGTTGCTGTACTAGTTTCTCTGAAATTTGAAAAGAATTGAAGACTGACTACATTTCAAAATGAATAGATTAGTACCTCATCTTTTTTATAGAAGGGTATGGATCTAGTTAAAGTCATTATGGCGTTACGACAAAACTTTTAGCAAACTTAGCTTTTACCTATGTGCAACTCGTTTCTTTGAAACATGCACTAGTAAACAGTCTAAGTTGTCTAGAGCTTTGGTTTATGTAACTCATCTAAAATATCTTAACCTAGTTACATTAGATTAGAATATTGAACTTTCGGTAGAACGTAACGGATAGAATTTATACTGTTTCAGAAAAAAAAATACTTTTAGTAATATTTCGCTACGTACATACAATTTCAAGACACCAAAATTTTCCAAGAAAAAATAGTCTTACATGTTAAACCTAAGTGTATGAAGTGTGTTCTCAACGTACGACTTTACCATCCGAATTTCATGAAGATTGAGCAACTGAATGTTCTGTCTTACTAATATTGGAAAAGTTAGAGATACTGTGCTTTAATCAAAGTAACACGAAGTAATATAGCACCTCACACTTAAGTCTGTTAACGTTTAATCTTGTCAATCACTTCAGTTAACTTATTTAAAAGACAGTTTCATTCGAATAGTAACCAGTTGTCTATATCTTTGTAATATTATTATCATGTCCATATGAACATATGTAATTGATCACGTCCTATATATAAATCTTATCAATTCATTGCCTTCGTATTTGCTAGTTCGTATTTTCATTTCTACTCGGACCCGCTTTGTGTGCTTGTGGCTTAGTGATTTGCGATGTACAAATTGCAGTCAACAATTCATATCGTCTCCAGTAATTTGTAAATCGTTGGGAGCTACCTAGTAACGATTATCAGGATGTGTGATATACGAAGCCTTAGGAGTTATCTCTAAGACAATCCACTACGGCAGTTTTTACCTGCTACTTTTGGTTTTTAATTCGAAAATTACTGATCAACAATATTCTAAAATAACTGATATTTATAGAAAGAATAGTCCTCGTGTAATGTAAAAACAAGTTATTTTTTGACAAAATGAAACTGAAAAATCACAAAACCAGTCAAAATTCGGTGTCATACATTATTTTAAATTGACCTGATAGTGAGAAACTTTATTTTTGTCAGGTAATTCTGAAAAATATAATGTCCACTATAAGACCCAGACATTCTGAATATGGTCTTATATTCGATCCTGGTTGTTCACTAATGAACGAACGTTGGGGTAAGTTTGTCCAACTACTCATTGCCAGCTTTGTATCAACAGTTCTCTAGTTGATACGACCAGTGCTATATGAAAATGAACGTTGAATTTTAATGACTTTTACAGCCCTCTTTCATCTTAATAAGTTAAACTGCAGTCAGCCAAAATAAAGAAATGTTCTCTTTGTATTAAATCTTACTTCATCGGATATACTTGAGTTGCATTGTCTCTTCTCCAATTGCTTAAAATTGTTTGAACAGAAGCTGTGGCCTTTTTTCTTAAATTTACCTACTTGTCATAAAGAAAAAATAAACTGGAAGGTAATTCTAAACTAAGCATAGAGCATAACTTTACTAGAACCAATTAGTATACGGGTATTTCCGTATATTCGGCCAAAAAACCTAGTACAATTTCGGTAAAGTTGTTATTATTTTAGAACAAGTCACATAAAACTCGGGTTTATATGTTAACTAACAGTTTCCCTTCATAACATCGATGATTTCTTAATAACACATTTTCTGGAAAAGGTAAGCGAATTAGAAAGTAGCTGGTTAAGTCTTTGAATATTAAGTTTACTTTGATGAGTAAGCATTCTATATTTACATTTGCAATTCTTATGAATGTATATATTCATATAGCAACAATTAAAAAGATAAAATGAAAGTTGTATAGGCTCGAAATTTATAAAAGAATAAATGCCGAGTAAGTTTCTTCTTAAAATACTTTCAAAATAATCAGACCCTGAGTTTTGAGTATTTATCAATAACTTCACCGACTATTCCTAAGAACTACGGATATTGAATGCTATGATTTTGTATAAGATGTAGGGTGTGTAGTATGAATCCCGAAACTAAGTAAAACAAATCTAATATACTTGCTTACGAACCAACTATTTCTATAAATATATGCGGAGAACTATTAAGTTGAAAGAAAAACTACTACTTCGAAAATTTCGCACATGTTTTACTTAAAGTCAGTGGGAGTTAAGTGAATTACAAAAGTATGTTAGAGTGATTGTCTAACGATGAAAAAATGATGAAGAGTAGTGGTGATTTACTTATCGTGCGAAGGAAATTCAAATACAACCTTACTGGTAAAAGTATATTACACTGACGACATTGAGCGACTTATCAGCCAATCAGGAGGCAGTGTTTGGTTATAGAACGATTAACACTGGGATAAATACTTTGGTACGAATAATTAACTCGTCGGATTATTGTTTATAATGGCAGAAGTGCTTAATTTTATATAGTATACGTCAGACTAGTGTCATGGAGTCGGGTATCAATCCCTTCGTGTTTTCGTCACCAACTGACATCAGCTTTACTGCAAAAAGGTTAGGTGCTATGAGTTTAGTTACTATTATAAGTTAGAGTTAGGGTTTTCATCACGAACTGACATCACCGATAATGCAATTCCCTGTCACTACTCTCTTTACAAACCTAGGAAATTATGGGTTGATATTTAGAGTAAGATTTAGGGAGGGGAAATATCCATTAGCTTCACGAAAAACTTCTGACTATGTATTGGGTCACATAAAGTACTTCAACGTTCAACATGCCCTAGAGGCAGATGTGCTTTGTAATTTAGCATAAGTGTCATCTAAGATTCGCTTTTCGTTTTCACCTAATTGATGACGTAATTTAAGGCAGGTAAAACTATATGAGTACAAATGAACGTATTGCATTTGGAATTCGTAATCAGTGGACGATGGAGTGCAAAGAAATCATTATTTCGTACAAATATCACAATTTTCATAAGGCATTATGCTAAATACTTCAATGAAATACTTAAATTCACGGTTCCTTACCAACTTTAAAGCATTTTTCCTCAGTTCCCACTCATTCCAATAATAGTTTTTATCAATATACGTTTCTATTGGGTGCACTACTGTTTGGACACCACAGTCGACCTTAGGACTTGTATTTTCATGAAATTGACCATTCTGAAATAAAAATGGTAATGGATTGTTTTTAATATCATAAGTCATTTTGATGTGTTTTAAATCACGAAACCAGTCCATCCATACAGTAACTTCCAATTTAACTGATATCATATACTCATTATTGCTTTTGGTCAATAAGTTCCTATATGAATAAATTAAATTCAAGCATAGGAACACAATAGCAGTCGTGTTATAAAGTCCATCAGGATGTTGAAGTATTAATTAAGAATTAGACTTTGATTCGCGTTAGAGATTCTGTGGAAAATGCTACTCATTGTTTGACGAACATTCACTTAATTAGGTGGTAGGAACTAAAGTGTTAAGAATTCATGCATAAACTACCCCAGAAATCTAGTAACTACATATTTTTTCCCAAAAACAAGTATCAATATGTTGTAGTCTTCTATATTTGTAATACATCTTGGCGGCCACTATATCACCACTGTGAATAAACCACTCAGTGTTGGTTAAATATTTTACCTGTCTTTGTCTGCTTAGAATTGGTTGACAAAACTGTCGGCCTTCATCTACTGAGGTGGTGGAGGCATGAGTTATGAAGTTCAATCTACCTGGATATACAATCAAGGATTTTATATGAGTAAATTTTAGAAATTCTAGAAGCGATCAGCTCCAGATAGGACAAAGCTCTATGAAGACACTAACCGTTCAGGGGCGTATCACGAGGTACAGAATTATTGATTGGGACTTGGAATGTTTTTGAAATGTTTTGGGATATTAGGTGATATGAGTCGATATCTAAATTTTGAGCTTCGTACCATTTAATAATGTCCATAATATTTCGATAAATCTCCTCCCCGGCGAACTATATTTCCTATGATTAATTCATTTATACCAGTGGTTAGACTTATGGCTGCTAATTATTTTAAGATTCCTACTTCAGTGTTGATTTGAGGTGTGAGATTATTTATAACTTAGAGACAATATTTGGGTTAACAAATATTATTTGATCAATTATTAGTATAGGGGATTAAGGATATTGTCGGATCGCATAGTATACATTATGAACTGTTCTCAACTAGACAACCATTGAAAACCACGAAGGGCTATAGAGTTGTGTCATCTTAGCATAAGAACTCTCAACAGCGTATATCCATGATTACACTTGGATGCTGTTTGCTAATGCCTAAACCTCAAACAACTGAGCTAGTATCTATCTATCTTCATGTCTCTTAATGGTGTTGTGTTTCTTCCAGGAATATATGACAAACACTACCTCTGTTAAAGTTCCAAGTTGCGCATAGTATATGACTCATTCGTAATAATTGAGGTCAAGTTATAGATGCAAACAAAAATTATTGACTTCGATTTATAAAATCGTCTAGAACTCTGGATTTTGGTCTAAAGTACGCCTACTAGTTAAAAAGACAATTGTCAGAAGGAATGCGTAGCTACTGTGGGAAATTACAAAGTATTTACACATACATACATAGCCTTCAATCATTCATTTTCACCTTTCGGTGTGTTTTGCTGGAACTTTTCACTCCACCTGACAACTGTAGCAACTTCGGCTTCACATTCCGCTACACACTACTTACAAACAATCTTATGCGCAGCGTCCACCACACTACCATTAAACTAAGCAATTACATAAATACGATTTCCACAGCAATTTTATTAAAAATGTTATTCATTGTAAGATATTATTCTAAAGTTTGTGTAACAAATATTTTAAAGACTTACTGTATAAGAAATTCCTTTGGAGAAAAGGTGATTGAGCTTTAAAATTGGGATTAGTTCAGGTAAACGTCGTATAACTTCTGGTATAGCCTTCAAAAATCTAGGAAGATAAATTTCAGGAATATGAAAAATACTTAAAATTAACCGCTTAATATTATTTGTCTAAATATTTTATTATAAAATTTATACATTATAAGATATGATTTACAATCTGTATAAAAAGAACTATCCATCTACTACAAGGCAACATGATGTGGAATTGTCTTATGGGCTGTCGGAGTATTGCAATCTGCTTGGATTAACTTTAGAACTGATTTGCTAATGTGTTATTTTAAGTTTGTCATTACTTTCCTTTTCAATGTCCACTTAGTCAAATCTTCATTTTCTATATTCAATATTGACAATTTTACTATGAATTATTATTTGCACATAAACGCTGTCTAATAAGCTTTCTGTCTATTTCACAATGAGACATCCGATGAAGAATAACTATTTTTAACATAATTCAATGAACATTAAAAATTCCCATGGAACATTCAAAAAACGAAGGATATATAAGAGGACAATAGTTTACAATAACTAACGGTATGTTAGGTCATTAATTGGGTGCGTTAGATTTCAGGTGATGGAATTCGTATTAACCTTATCTGACTCCACTAAAGTTGATGATAATAAAATGTATATTCCCACTGATTTTGTTTATATCCTCTGTTTTCTCGTTAATAACAATCGGAAATAAAAATTCAAATACGAGTAATGTCGTGCATATATTATGCATACGGTTTGTCAGAAAGACGGTACAAATGAGTAGTCATAACCTCGAGGTTTATCGTTAAAGATAAAGAGGAAAAACCATCGTCATTTAAATGTCAACTGTCAATTATGATATCTTGAATAACAGTATAATGTATACATATATAATATATACTCTCATTTAACACTCACTTTTCAGTTTCCATCACAAATTCTTTTGCTGCTTCAGGTGTGCTAAATGCATACATTTTATTATCTGGAGGTAAGAGCAAAACTCCCATATGAATATCAGCTGGTACTAGTAGACCTTGATAACGTACTAATGACCAGATGCAAAATCCCTGTAAATATTTATTAATTAAAATAAAATATTTATAAATGATGGCACTTAACTAATATTTAATTATAACAGCAAGTAAAGATTAAACAAGTCTAAATTCTACTAACAGTTATTCGTCTAATATTACAAATTGTAAAGGAAGCTCTCTTGATGGTCATGATCTGCTTTCAAGCATTTACTGTTGTTCAATGAGTGTTGTGATATAGACAAATTTTGATACTTGATCAGCTGGAAAGTCGTTAGTAAGTAAGAATGATTGATATTCTAAGTGTTAGAAAATTGCTAAAAGGTTCGGATTAAGAGTAATCTATGATTAACTAATACATTTTTTACATGTGAAAATTATATTTGAAATAATCTCAGCGATTGAAATTTTAGTAACTCCGACGTTTCGTCCAGCTAAACTGTCTGGACTTCTTCAGGGTAATTTCAATCGCTGAGATACTTTCAAATATAATTTTCACATATGATGACTTCTCTTTACTCGGCGCCCAATTTCTGTCAAACTCTTCGTTCTAATCTTGACGAATATTCGTATATAATACATTTTTATCTTATGGCGTAGTATTCATGTTTGGTAAAACATGTATTCTGGGATCTGCTACATATATGAAAATATTTTGAAGTTGTTTAAGAATTTGTGTTCATAATGATGTATCACGAAATTTGATTTAGGCAGGTGTCATATAAACATCTCAATGTAAGAATTCTAGAGTTCGGACTGAGTGTTGAAATCAGTCTATGAAGTTTAAACGTCTCATAAAATATAATTTAATTCAATTTCTACTTTTACATGAGTGTGTTGTACCTGTAACCTAACAGGTATCTGAGTTACATCGAACTGATCAAAGAATAGTCACGAAGCTATCTTTACAGTAAACAATACATTTAATTGGTGTTATAAGCATATCAACTGACTTGATTTCTATATCTTATGCTAATATTTTCTAAGTCTCTTGCTTTTAAATACCCATACAACTCGATGATGATCAGCTTAAATTATCGCCCGTTCAGTACCTATGGCAATTTAAGTCTCTGCATAGAATTTGATGGCCACGTAGCATACAGTATTACTTCGTCAATAGGAACACAAAAATCACTTTCTTACCAGAGATACAGTGAGTATAAAAAAGTGTCCTAACGTACCTCGGCTTAGTATTAAAGTGTATCAGAGAGTGATAATACTTAGAAACTAAGTTATGTAGGCCGAAAACAACTCCTTTCATCCACTTTAATTGAAATATATCTGAAATTTCTCTAAAAGACAGTACTAATGTTAATTAATCAGATTATTAAGGATTTATTTGAGAAATTTACTTCATCAGTGCTAAAAGGTAATATAAAAATAGGAAAAATTATTTATTTACTGTTAACTTATTTATTAAATTAGCATATAATTATGTAATAAACAAGCAAAAACTCTCAAGAATACTTACTTCGTACTCAATATTAAGATTAATCTCTTCTGAAGAAGAATGTGGGAATACACACTGATGTCCACCACAGTATTCTTCACTTAATCGGTCATGATGCTAAAATAAAATAGTGTAAAATAATATTAAAGTTGTAAATCAAGTACATTAAAATTTCACTTAGGTATACTGAAAAAAGAACAATTTAGTAATTATGTATTTTGACTATATTTTTAGTAATAATCAGTTGTGTTATTCACAACGAACATTTTATATAATGTATGTAAATTCAGCCATGTTTTAACTGTATTTAATCTATTATATAAAATGCACAACTTCTACTAATAGATCGCTAATCACTAAATCATTCACTCACCGGTGCTACCCTTCCCCCTATTTGAAGGATAAGAGTTCTAGTTGAAGTGTTTCTGTTCCTGAATGAAGTGAGAGCATCAAAAAGTCAGCTGGAATTTTTGTCGTCACTTTAAAGGATTACTAGAATGAAAATATTCAATGACTAAAGTCTTTTATTTATTATCAACATGTATTTTTCTCTATCGTTAGTGATTTACTATGTGAATACTTCATATTGCAGTGATTTTATAAACGACTATTATGAATAAAGTTTCATAAAACTGCAGTAAGAGCTATTCATACATAATACTGCTTAATACATAAAACTTATGATTATAACGGTCAACAAATGAATTAGAAACAGTAGCAGATTACATAGATATCGTAAGATAAGGGTTTCAGTACCACAATTGTGCAAGCAAGATGCTTTCTAACGAAGTGAGTAATAATCTCAAAAGCGTTCATTTTTACAAAGATATAAAGACTATTCGCTTCTGAGTGATAAAACGTTCGAAATTTAATTCTAAAGTGTTTATTTAGTACTTAAAAATATTTCGTCATATTGGGAAAACCTTTTAACCCATAAAATCCTAAATGTATTCTTTTATATCACTTCACATTATATTGCCTAGAATTGTTTTAGGCTAAATGCGAAAATTTAAGCTGTCATAATAACATAATTGGTACAAGAGTAGTTCATGTTTCATTATGCTTCTTACACTTAACCGAAGAATGTTACAATCTAGAATAATCAAATTAATCAAACACAATCATACTAACAAGGGTGCTTTCAGTACATGTTGCTTTGTGTTTCATCAATAGCTGATCGATTAAAAACAAATCATAATTTATATGCTTTCAAAATAGAATCATATAAGTTAGCTACTTACTTACGCCTGTTACTCCTCGTAAAGGAGCATAGGCCGCTCACCAGCATTCTCCATCCAACCCTGTCCTGGGCAATCCTTTCCAGCTCCGTCCAGTTGTAATTCATCGTTTTCATATCTGCTTCTATTATCCGACGCAATGTGTTCTTTGGCCTTCCTCTTTTTCGCTTCCCTTCAGGATTCCAAGTTAGGGCTTGCCTCGTGATGCAGTTCGACGATTTGCGTAATGTATGTCCTATCCATTTCCATCGTCTTTCCCTAATTTCTTCTTCAGCTGGAAGTTGGTTTGTTCTCTCCCACAGAAGGCTGTTGCTGATGGTATCCGGCCAATGGATGTTGAGTATCTTGCGTAGACAGCTATTTATAAATACTTGTACTTTCTTGATTGTGGTTGTTGTAGTTCTCCAAGTTTCAGCTCCATACAGTAGAACTGCCTTGACGTTCGTATTGAAGATTCTCACTTTGATATTGGTTGAAAGTTGTTTTGAGTTCCATATGTTCTTCAATTGTAGGAATGCGACCCTTGCTTTGCCGATCCTCACCTTTACGTCTGCATCGGATCCTCCTTGTTCATCGATGATGCTTCCCAGGTATTTGAAGGACTCTACATCTTCCAGAGTTTCGCCATCAAGTGTGATTGGATTGCTGTTCTCCGCTTTGAATTTGAGGACCTTAGTTTTCCCTTTGTGTATGCTGAGGCCTACTGATGCAGAGACTGCTGCTACACTGGCTGTCTTCATCTGCATCTGTTCGTGTGTACGTGATAGGAGGGCTAGGTCATCTGCAAAGTCCAAATCGTCTAATTGATTCTGAGCTGTCCATTGTATTCCGTGTTTTCCTTCAGATGTTGAGGTCTTCATAATCCAGTCGACCACCAGAAGAAAGAGGAAGGGAGAGAGTAAACAGCCTTGTCTGACTCAGGTCCTTACTTGGAATGCATCTGTCAGCTGTCCTCCATGCACTACTTTGCACTGTAGTCCGTCGTATGAGTTCCGGATAATATTGACAATCTTCTCAGGAACTCCGTAGTGTCGAAGAAGTTTCCATAATGTCCTCCTATCTACACTGTCGAATGCCTTTTCATAATCAATGAAGTTGATGTATAGTGATGAGTTCCACTCAACTGATTGTTCGACGATGATCCGTAGTGTTGCAATTTGGTCTGTGCACGACCGATCCTTACGGAATCCAGCTTGTTGATCTCGAAGTTGGGCGTCTACTGCATCTTTCATCCGATTCAGCAACACTCTGTTGAAGACTTTCCCTGGTATTGACAGTAGTGTAATGCCTCTGTAGTTTTCACATTTGCTCAGATCTCCTTTCTTTGGAATTTTGATGAGGTGTCCTTCTTTCCAGTCCATCGGCACTTGTTCCTCCTCCCAAATCTTTTTGAATAGGAGGTAAAGCATGCTTGTGGTTGTTTCGATGTCTGATTTCAGTGCTTCAGCTGGTATGTTGTCGGGTTCTGCTGCTTTCCCGTTCTTGATTTGTCTGACAGCCATTCTAATTTCTTCCTTCGTTGGTGGGTTGACATCTATAGGAAGATCTATATGTGCCGCTTCGATGTTCGGTGGATTCATTGGAGCCGGCCTATTCAGGAGTTCCTCGAAGTGCTCTACTCATATGTTACGCTGTTGAATTTCAGTGATTGGCTTGCCTTCTTTGTCTTTGACCGGCCTCTCTGGTTTACTGTATTTCCCTGCTAGTTTCTTCGTTGTATCGTGAAGCTGTTTCATATTTCCTTCTCTAGCAGCTTTTTCTGCCGTCGTTGCTAGTTCTTCAACGTATTTCTTCCTGTCGGCTCTAATGCTCCTCTTCACTTGTTTGTTTGCTTCTATGTATTCAGCTTGTGCTTGGACTTTCTCTGCTCGTGTTCGGCTGTTGTTGACTACTGCCTTCTTGTTCTTCCTTTCTTTGATCTTGTCCAGTGTTTCTGTAGAGATCCATTCCTTATGATGGTATTTCTTTAGACCGAGAACCTCTTGACACGTTGAAGTTAATGCTTCCTTGATGTCTTTCCAGTTGTCCTCCATAGTAGTTTCTTCTTCTTTCAGTAGATCTTGTAAGGCTTGGAACCTGTTGTTGAGAGCTATCTTGAATTCATTGAGTTTGTCAGTATCTCGAAGGAAGGCTGTATTGAACCTTTGTATTGCTGTTTGTCCACTTGTCCAGTTCTTTTTTAGCTTCAGTTTCAAATTGGCTACAACTAGGTGGTGATCTGAAGCTACGTCAGCACCTCTCCTGGTTCTCACATCTTCCATTGTCCTTCGGAATTTTTTGTTGATGCAAATATGGTCTATCTGGTTCTCCGTAGTGGGGTTCGGTGAGATCCACATAGCCTTGTGTATACGCTTGTGTGGAAATATTGTGCCTCCTATGACCAATTTGTTGAATGCACATAGATTTGCGAATCTTTCTCCATTTTCGTTTCTCTCTCCCAGTCCATGTCGTCCCATAATATCTTCATATCCAGTGTTGTCTATTCCGACTTTGGCATTTAGATCTCCCATCAGAATAGTTAGGTCCTTTCTTGGGCATTTCTCAATGATTGACTGCAGCCGCTCGTAGAACTGATCTTTAATTTCGTCGTTGCTATCATTGGTGGGTGCATAACATTGGATAATATTCATTAAGATCCCCTCCTTCTTTGTTTTAAATGATGCTTTGATGATTCTGGATCCGTGAGATTCCCATCCTACAAGTGGATTTCGTGCTGCTTTGGACAGCATAAGAGCGACTCCCTGAGTGTGTGGAGCATTGTCCTCTTCGTTACCGGAGTATAGCAGCATCTCTCCCGTAGCTAGCCTTTTCTGTCCAGCTTGGGTCCAGTGGGTTTCGCTGATTCCCAGTACTGCTAAGTTGTATCTCCTCATTTCCATTGATATTTGACTGGTCTTCCCGGTTTCCCACATTGTTCGAATGTTCAATGTGCCTATAAAAATTTTTGCTCTGGTTGTTAGAAGGGGCATCGGCCTCGTGGCTTCCGAAGGAACTCGGCTTTCACCATGAAGCGTCATAATTCTTCTAAATGAAGACCTTCTAACTCCCAGGGCAGAGTTAAAATGGTTTGAATTATTTTTTCTGGTAAGCGTTTTTTTAGCTAGTTAGTTTTCTACGGGATGGGGACGCTAACCCCATGCCCAACCCTCCTCCTTTACCCGGGCTTGGGACCGGCAGCAACCCTATAAGAGCTACAGGCGGAGTTCATATAAGTTAGAGTTACTGTATAATAAATTAAGCTAGAAGTGATAGTATACTGTTTTGTAAAACAATTATTAGTGCTTAGATTTTGGGAGCCTTATAATTCATTAGATTGACTTCTACTTCAGACTAACTGATTTGTTTAATAAGTCTATCTGAAAACATTGCGTATATGATACGGAAACCGATGCTGAATTGATTCTGAAATAAACAATTAACAATGATAAACAGTCCCACTTAATAAGGTTATAAAATATTATTTTCAACTTACCTTACGATCTTCGTCGAATATAACTTCCTTATCCGAGATAAAATTATACATTTGTTCTTTGGTCCATTTCAACTGACGTCCAACAAAATATGTTTGTAAGGTATTTAAAGTACTGGTTAATACTGATAAGAAAACCATTTCATCTTGAAAACTTGTCCAATAATTAGCAAGCTGTAGGAATCCAGGCTAATGTTTAGGAACGTATAAATTCATTCATTACAAAGCTATATATATCAGTTTAGCTATTAACTTTATACATATATTAAAACAATGATCAGCATATAGATAAATGATAATGAGATAGAAGTAATTCAATGAATATCTTACATAAACTTCGTTACTTGGAACGGCTGGCCGATCACTTATTAGAATATGCAATTTTTTCATACAACTTTTAAAGCTATCAATTATTTTCTCTATGTCTTTCAACATTTGATTAAGCTCGCATTCAATAATTCTTAGAAATTTTCCATACTGTCTAGCATTGACTACGGAAGCTCGCAAGTGTTCCGGTGTAATATCCATCTCCTTAGCAGACTTTATTAAAGCTTTAACATCAGTAGTTGGGTCAATAGTAGATAGTTTCAAGAAAAGACCTTTGAAAAGAAAGAAAGAAATATGCACCGACATAAAATGATAGATTGAAATATCTGAATAATAAAGCTTTGTATAGATTTTTTGCATAGAACCTTAAATTATCCTTATACAAAAATTATATTTTTATTTAGTAACCAAGTTGATAATTCACCAGTATTTCAGATTGTATTTCAATAAATTTAGATATACTGGATAAACGTTTAAACTCAGTACATTTCAGCTCAACAATTTATGACCATTTATAAGTAAAATTATACTATGGCGATTTATGTAATCAAAAGCTAAATTGATAAATTTTAACGATCCGTTTCAGAGAGCATAATTTTTCAGACTGGATATTTGATAAGTGCATATCGTTTGAAGTCATCATTCACCATTGTAAACACAACAATCAAACATTATTATTTATTTAGCAAAGTTATTTTAGACTGGCATCCTGAACACATTTCAATTATGCCCACATATTATTTATTTCTGTTGCTAAATAGTCTAAGTAGGTTGTTTCACACTGATAAGGCACAATGGACTTTATAAAACCTGTACAAAATGACCATATACTAATACCATATAGTTTTTTAATTCAATGTTTAACCAAAATATACTATTCAGTCAGAACTACTAGTGTATTTCTCTTTGAACACGATTTATTATATACTTACGAAGTATTGAATTACAACGGATGAAGAACTTGATACAATTTACAGTGTAACTTATTACAGTAAACCTTCTAAATTGATAAACCAATATGAAAAGTCAGGCGGAATAGTTTCAAAAAAACTTCTTTATAAATTCATTTTATTACTATTATACTTCCTTATTTACTTTGTTGTATTCACTTATATGGCTATCATATTTTATCAATGTATAGATAGCATCTTGAGTGCTTTTGCCAACTTACGTCACCTATGGCGAAGGCGAAGTATCCGTCTATCAATAAAAGGACGAGTATAATGCGCAGCAGTTTGTTCTGTTCTACTTGACGGCTGCGAAACGTGGCTACTAAGAGTAGAAGATATTCGTAAGCTACTAATATTTGACCACAGTTGTCTTAGAAATATTGCTGGCGTCTGCTGGGATCACCGTGTAAGTAATAGTGAGGTTAGACGCAGGGTATTAGGGAATGATGGTAAATTAGTTGATGAGGTTGTGAATCTTCATCGACTGAGATGGTTGGGCCACGTGTTACGTATGCCTGAACACCGACTACCACGACGTGCAATGCTAACCGGTGTTAGAGATGGTTGGAAGAAAGTTAGGGGTGGCCAAACCAAAACGTGGCATCAGTGCATGAAGTCACTAACTTCTAGTCTGAGTCATGTTAAGAGATGCAGACTACTTGGTTGGAGTCTGCGTGACTATTGTAACCAATGGTTGGAGACTCTTGGTGACATGGTTCAAAGTCAATCACAATGGCGTAGGTGCATACACTCTGTCTTCCTTTAAACTAAGAGATTAAAACTGCCTCATGTCTTTCTTTCTACGAACTAATTCTTTCTTCCTGTACTATATCCTTATTGCAATCTTTCTTTTATGTATTATCACAACTAAATTAACTAGTTTTATGAATCCGATGTTCATCTTGTGTTAATGAGATATGGCAACTTGGACCGATGCATAAATGTGCCTGGTTCTACGTTGTAGCTGACTGATAGATAGCATCAATAAATGGGATCAGTGGACCTACTTTATTTTTTAAATCAGTTCAAATAGATAAATTTAAAATCCTGTGATTTCATTCTTCAGTATAAAAGTATGTAAAAGCTAATTAATTCTAGTGTATTGCCGCCTAAATGCATCAAATTAAAATTTAGCTTACAGTGAATATAGGAATATGATACAAAGGGTAAGAGTAGAAATTGAAAGAGATATTTTAACTGTATTGTCTTTCTGATGTCCTATGAAACTCTCATTTTACAACTGTCTATATTTTAAATAGATTCAATAATCATAATTTTTCTCCTTGCTCTTTTTATGTAAACATGTCAATTTATTAGGCTTTACACTGTCTCTCGATCCTGTGAACAATTGTCAACAAGATACATCGTACAGTCGAGCATCATCTATCAATCATCATTATATTCATTATTATCAAAATTCCAGATATACAACAAGCCATCTATTGAATACTATCAAAAACGAAATCCTAAATACCAAAAAATACGTTAGTTTATCCAATAACAAATAATTGTTCTAAAGTCATTTATAAATGACACATACTTGTGTAAATAGCAGCAAGTTCATCTGATTTTTTAATTTCTTCATTAACTGTTTCTAGTGTTATGGGCACTCCTTCACTCAATAAATGCGGAACTGAATAAAATATATGTAAATGAAGCATATATTTGGCAATCATTTTGTAAAATATTAATTCACTATTAAATGAAACAATTTAGTTTCAGATATTTTAAATAATTAAACTGAAATATTACTTTTCAATAGTTGAGATCATGAGTCAATTGAAGTTAGACCACCATAGAAAACCTGGAAACATTGGAAGGCCGTTTCGTCCTATTGTGGGACTCCTCAGCAGTGCGCATCCAAGATTCCGCCTCGCGAGATTCGGACCCAGGGCCTATCGGTCTCGCGCGTGAACCCTTTACATCCAGACCACTGGGCCGGCCGGCATCCAATGATGTTAATGTCTAACTTGAACTAATCCACGAAATTGAGCGACACATCCACTATTGTCATCAGTGAGCTACTATCTCACAAGAGACTCGGTTGAACTCCACTGGTCACTGCTTCTCACTAGAACTGCAGGAAATACCTTTTGAAGCCAGTCACTAGCGAGCATATGTTGGTTAATATCAGAAGGGGTTTTTGTGGAAATTTTGGTAATTTTAGTAATTGAGATCATGAATCATTTGAAGCTAGACCACTTTGGAAAACTTGAAAGTACTTTCAATGTATTTTGTGATGTTATCTTTTGATATAAATTGTCTTCGAATTGAATAGATCTTCAGAAATCTTAAAACTAAATAATAATCGCACGTTTATAGCATTTTGTATTTTGAAGATTTTTTTTATCATGATTGAGTGTGATAATTCAGACTTCTTACAAACATTTTAAAGTTTATTTTTGAGTTCTAAAAAGTCATTAATTCCATGATTTCTCAAAGTTTCAATTATCCAGTTATTGTGAACATATTAAAACTCAGGAACTATAACATTTTTCACAATATTAATACCATGGTCATACTGTGGTGTATGCTACTGATATCGATAGATATAAGTAGTATGCATCATCAATCGTAAGTGAAATGCCTGACGGCAGGAGGTTAAGAACAAAAACAGAGAACCATTGGTGTGAAAATGAAGAAACATTCAGGTTTGAGACAATTAATTGACATTTTGCAAATGAAGTATTTACTGTATGATTCTCAGATTTCACTGAGATGTACTGTAATTTTGTGTTCCATTGCATTCGATTATCCCCAATTGTGTTCTCGTTTACTACAATACCAATGTCATTTCTTTTAGTTTTCTAAATATTATTTATTCTTACAATATCTCCTTATTGATATAAACGATCCTTATTTGATTCTTGGAAATATATACTCGAGTGTTTGATATATTATAATTCAGACAGAATTTTCATAAAGATCTATAATGTATAACTTGTTTATTTATATAGGGCGGATATTCAGAGTTTCGAAAATAAATTAAAGATAACATCTTTAAATCAGAAGAATAATGTAAAACAAACTTTTCAAAAAATATAACTGAGGTCTTGATCTTGGATATTAGATTTTATTTTTAGTTTATTTTTTAGTTCAGATAAGAATCATGATATAGAGTAAGTGGTAATAGGAAAGCAAGTATATTCTTTAAAATTTCTATGTATTACACCATCCAACTAAAGTCTAACTGATAAATTAGTCAAGATTATATCGATGAGTAGTTTTCAAAGGTTTCAATTATACACTGATTTACATTATACAAACAGACTTACTGATTTTACGTCACATTCATATGATAGATCTAGAATTAACATGAATATTTGTTCTTATATTAAGACAAGAACATGCTATAAGTTCGGCGGTCTATGCTCCATTGGGAGTTACAGGCGTAAGTAAGTAAGTATGATGTAAGTTGACATTATTGTGATTTTTGAGCCGATTTAATCTCTGAAAACAATAATATGCCATCCAAAGAAGCAACAACAAGCCGAAGGTAATCTGCAAGATGAATTGTAATAACTACGACAATGCATGTGAACAACTGTGGATATGAATTCGGTTGAGTAAACGTCCAAATATTGGACAGAGGAAATACAAAGAAAGCCAGAGAATTTTCAGATACCTGAGACTACTAAACCACCAATCAACAGACATGTAGAAATTGTCCAAATTTATCAACCAGTAAGAAAAAAGGGTTAAAGTTGTAAGGATCGGGATCCAGGTCAGAAGGGAGGATAACCGAAATAAACATAAGCAACGACCACACATGTACGAATCAAAACCAATCACATTTCAGGTGACCAGGACAAACTGTCAGTCAATGGTGGAGAGATTCCAATAACTCACTTCTCTTTGAGGCAAGTGTTGATGATCTTTTTCAGAAGAACAATAAAAGTCTTCGAACCAACTCATCCAGCTCAGAGATAACAACAACTTCAATATCTTCATCCTGAGCTACAAATATTATCCATCATATACTAGAAGTACTTTAATCGCAATATTCATACTTTATTAAATCTTTAAACGTAAGTATATTAGCCGAAAAAGCCATTATTCAATTTCTTAACAATAAATCTAGACAATAAGAAATTGTAATTGACGGGGAATTTAACTTACGATCATCAATTCCAGCTCCTCCTTTATTACAATCTTTGTTATACAGACGTATACCAGTGACCAGACCAGTAAATTCATATAGTTGTTTTCTTTTTTGATTAGCATTGGCTGACAAAAAGCTTGCAATATCTGTTTGTGGAAATATACTTTGAAGTGCAGCTAATAAACGAGAGAACAGAGGCGCTTAAAATATAATATCTGAAATCCAAAGTAGATAGAAATCAAGATGGAGAGATATATAAATTTCTTTTGTACATAACATATACCAGATAAGGCTTTGTATTTATTCAATCAAATAACCACGAGACTAATAATCTCGTCTACCCATACTTTATAAGATGGACTGCTGTGTATAAATCCTACAAAATGTATTCGTCAGAAAGTCTTTCACCTAAGTTTGATGCATTATGGTTGTAGGAAGCAGTATCCTACAGATTCAACTCAAATCTAATCCCTAGACTGTCGAATACAAAGTCTTGGTTCAGCCAAAGTCAGAACAAGTAAGCAATTTGGCTCGATAAACTTTATCTGTTTTTAAAACGTAAATTAACACTTGGTGTACAAAACAAAAGTACAGTCTATAAACACAGGGAAAAACGGAGACATAAATAACGTACCGAACAGTAGCTAGAAAGTAAGAAAAATGAGTCAACAAGGCAAATATTGTTTTATAATGAACATCGAATTGTGGTTGGTGAATAAATAGGACACAGTCATACAAGGTTAAGAAAAATTAGTGTAGTAGTGGGCGTTCCACTTTACTATTAGTTGGTTCGTTTATCGATCACATTTTACAATGGTATTAACTACCGAAACTCAGTTAAAAATATCATTTTTCCCAAATGGAATAAAAACGCATATGGACGAAAATAGTCTTAATTTATCAGGCACTAGCATTCTTGCTTTTATTAATAGGTTACAATAGTAGCTACTACTAAGCAGTGATTAATAGTTCAAACTATTTCACCTAACTTTTGTATTTATATTTCAAAAAAAGCACAATATTACTCCAAGTTCATATCGATTATATTACTGATCATGTTGGATTTCTCCAGAGATAGACAATCATCGGAAATACAAACCACCAATAACTGTGATTCTATCACCATTTTGCACAAATATCAATCGGTTTGATGAATAAAAGATAATTGAAATTTCCACAGAATTATTTCATTTATTAAATCATAATTGTGCGTGATATCTAACTCAAAAGAACATTCAGAAACGCTATCTCATTCGATTTATCAAGAAAGTAGATGTAACCGAATAACTCTACCATCGAATTAAACTAGTTCTGGTCTATTGAGATATTACAAACGTGAAGTAATGTGCGTTCACCCTATCAACCGCTTTACTTCATCGTAGTAACCCTCATTTGAATATTCAAGCTTAAACCATTATTTTGTAATTTGTTTGAAAAATATGTAAAATGACTGCCCTAACAATATCTTAGCGTCACTTATTTATCAGTTTGATGAATTTAAGAACTATCATCAATTAAAATGCATACTAGTAATTGCAGGAGACGGAAAAAAGCTTCAACCCGAAACATATAGCATCTTGAATCATCTAACAGCACATGCAGAGCATTAGTAATATGATCGATCACCCTAATAAGATATGCAAATATGTTTATTTGACGCTACACAGCACATAAATCCATCAATCGATAGGTATATTTGAAGTTTTAGCAACAAAAGACGTAAACTTTGGAGAATATCAGTTTAATGAAGGCTCTTTCACATACATGATTGGTGAGTTTATCGATAAGTAAAGTGATGTCATTTAGGGTAGATAACTTCCACCAGATTTATCCAAACTTTTCAGATATATAATTCTAGAAATAAGTAACTTCGTATGACTCCCGGAGAATTAATTATCAGCCCACAAACCCTCTCACAAGGGTGAGGTAGCCATATTTCTGCCTGTCAAACACGTTACCGAAATGTTTAGTATTCGAGATGAGATACCTTTTTCCTTTTTCCCGCGGAATTGAAATTTTGCTTTGTAACTAATCTGCACCGGGGTTTGGTCCAACAACGCGAAGGAAAGTAGTCTGCTACATTCAGCACCTTGCCTAGAAGTTTCTTCACATTTGGCGAGCTGATAGATGAAAGACCTCAGCATAAATATAGTAAATTCAAATAAACCTCGATATTTCACATAATCAGTCAAGCGGACAAGACAAACGTTTGTATAAAAAACATTAGACATAATGCTTATCAGTTTGTTTCCCATTAGATGGCTGTGAAAGGTCATTTTGAAGCTGAAGAAATATGTTTTTATCACAACTCTATTCACACTATTGCATGCACGAGATAGAACCACTACATGTGTTATGCTGAAACTAAATACAGGACAATAGATGTATTTAATAAGCTGGATAATAAGTCTAAAAACACCACTGACTAAAATGGTTGGGATGTTAGGGATGTAAACTCACTAAAAACCCTGGCGAACAGACCTGTCCAGCATACGCGTATGTCTAAAAATATTGAAGGCTGGGTTTAAACGCATACTTTCATCTTAGATTTTTTATTTTAATTAGTAATATTTCTGGTTCATTTGGCTATTCAACTAGTTAATTTTCCCTCACTCTGTAACGATATAAAATGTAGAAATTTTAACTCATGGACATTTGTGCTAGATCCTAGGTTGTTTATGAATTGTTGACCTAAACGCGTTGTATAGCATAACATTGCATTAGTTAGAGAGAGGTTTGCCCTCCGAGTTTCGTACTTTCGAAGTTCCACTAGACTTGTTAGGTCACTTTATTGGTATAGATTTCTAAACTCAGAGTGATGAAGTTTGAAAATACCCGTATGTCCACAAATATTAGCGGATTCGCATGTGACTAGAGGATCTTTGAATTCATTGCATAGCTCATTGATAAATAAGATTATATGTGTTATTTAATATAAAAAGAGAGTTATAAAACCAAAGTTCATGTGCTAGAATGAAAAACCACAATTTTCAGTCTCAACTACCTGCTAGTTTATAGTTTAAAAGAAAAGGCAAACTTTCATTGGCTCACCTGTAGTTTCTCTGATAACATCCATATTTGTTGGAGATCCAAGACCCGACCTTAATAATAAAGCTGATATAATATTTTGATAAGTAGCCTCTAGTTCCTCCCGTAATTTTGCTCGACTCTCTATAACTTCACGTAATACAGGTTCTAAACGCTTTTCCAGTACGCGATGATGCTCGTTTAGGAATTCATCTGGAAATTATTCGGCAGTTATATTGGAATAATTTGAGCAAAGATATAGGTACGTGATTACTTTTAGGGTTCGTATGACACACCAACGCTAAAATGAATCTAGCGTTCAGTTGAATGACGTTACATAAACGTTTCATATATATTTGAATCAGTACTCGAGAAGAGATAAAATAATGTTCGTTTTTACCTGGTGATGGATCAAATTAATCAAACTATTCTGGGAGAGGTCGGTCTCAGTGGAGATTTATCTAGCCACAACGCCAAGTTACTCTGCTTCAAGTCATTAGAAAATAATTCGCCTCCCCAATGTCTCTTTGCTCAGTGTAATATGGAACGAAATCGTGCCAGAAATTTGTATTGGATAACATTTATTCACCTTATATAATCGACTTACAAATAAATGGTCCTTAATCCTAGGTTTCAGAACACTTGAAGTAATCATATTTTACACTATTAAGGATTAAAATAAAGGATTACCAAACAGGTCTTGAGCTTTTGCGACAGACATGGGCTAACTGGTGTAAAGCTAAAGTTAATGATGTACATAATTAGTGTAGTTGTCGCACAGTGAACATCTGTAATTGTTAATTAACTTTGTGTGCTGTCCTATCTTATTTTACGCAATCCTAATTACAATAAATTTTCACGTCGATTTTTCGTAATTAACTGTATTTAGCTTTCTTAATAATGCGTTTTGACAATAAAATAGGATCAATTATGCTGGTAAAATGTGTAAATGTGACATTATAAGGATACTTTGCATAACATAATTTGTCAGGTGAATTACAATATATAGTTTACGTATTTGATACTCTTAGAGAAAAGTGGATTATAAACCAGAAATAATACATATTTTTTGCATCTGTCATTTTTAGAAAGGTGGTCACTAGTAGAGCATAAATCAATGCATAAAAGAATGTTCACACTAGTGTTTAATTGCTAAAAAGTAGACTTCATTGTCCATTTATTATATGAATCACTATGTCTACAAAAGAAGTGTATAACAAAATAACCCCTGAGACGTCAGATTTTAAGTATTCCAAAACAAAGCAGATAAACGAGTAATTCTTCCCATATTTTGCTTACACGTCAAAGCATGCATCAGAATGAATTAAAATATAAAGTTTTGCTGATTTCTCTAGATTTAAAAAATTCATTTCTACTTTTTAAGAGGACTCTGTAAGAATGTAACCTAAAACTTCAGAGCCATTAATCCAATGTTTTTGCTCACATGTATATTGAAAGATGAAATTTCAAGTGAACGACCTAGTGATTCACCACTGATCCCATGACAGTCATACATGACTGATGATGAAGAAGTTAGTGTCATGTAGATGATGTTAGGTTAACCGAGGTCATAAAATCATCAAAATATTGCGATTTGTAATCAGTGTAAATAAACCAAAAGTTTTATAAAACAAAAGTCGATATTAACTTACCTTTTTTGAGATGATTTATTTCGAAGAATACTTGCATTTTTATTGTATCAACAGATGGTGATTCTTGATCAGTTACCCTGTTAACACATAACTATACCGAATGATGGATTATAGATCGAGTTACTTCAATCAGTTTCTTTATATCCTCACTATCCAGTGGTTTATCGGGTAGAAATCCAGAAGCAGGATCAAGAACAACTGCTTTGACCTAGAAAATCGTTACGTCGTTGTTGAAATTCATTCACTCAATACAATAAACGCCACAAGGGTCTCAGAGACGTCATGTCCTCTTGAAATACATTGTTGTATTATTTGTTTAATTATTCTAGTAATAACACTCTCAGCTTGAACGTTTGTCATTACAGTTATTTAAATAATTTCATATAAACAAGCACTATAGCAAATACGAAGTTAAACAACAACTATACGTAACTATTTAAGTCTCTGAAGGACAAATTAATAGATGACATGAGTTAGTCCTGGAAATAGACTTCTTTCAAATGACCCGACTTTATTTTAAACGCATAAGAAAATCGTGATTCAACCACGTATTGAGGTAAACAGTTCCATTTGTTAATAATTCATTGGTAAAATCAACAGTCAACAGACAAGCAATTCACTTTGGGTTTTTATTCATTTTTATAATGACTTTATAGATACCCTGTTTTTTACAAACAAGAAAAGTGAGTGGATATCAGATGCATAATTATTGACACTTAATTTAACCCGCGCATTATTTAAATAGAACTTTGGTACTTTACCTCACCGAGTCAATTTTACCGTGTCGAATGTTTATTAAGCATCAAGACTACTGTTTTCGCTTTAGTTGGATTTATTTCAGCCAAAGTGATCTCCAAGAGTATCGTATTTCCTTAAAATAATTCTTCATCTGTACTTTTTATATACAGTGACAGAAAAGGCAGTGATGTTTTTTTACTTTGAATAAATCTTTTATTATTGATTGTAACAGAAGGTGTAAAGGCTTTTTTTGCTTTTTTGTGTTGGGTTTTCGTTTTCAACTACGGTAAGATATAACCTTAGTGTTTTGTGCCCAGTGAAAATTGCCTTTTAAGGCACTTTAAAAACACTTATACTCGAGATCAATTTCTTTGTTGTTCTCTCTGTAAGATCAATGGATAAAGCATCGTCATGGTGGGTTCGCATGCTTTTTCACGGTGGAGAATGGAATGCAACGTGAGAACTGCAATATGTGTTATCACACAGTGTGCGCCGGGCTCATACTAGCTTAATACAAACGGTGCTGTCAGCCACTATCACGTTTTTAAGCATGTGGCGAGCGTTATCAGGATTCCAGCTATGGATTTCAATAAGACAATCAAAGTGGACTCCATTAGAGAGGCGGGTAAAAAGCACAGTGATATGGGTGTGGTTACAAGAAGAAATAACAAGCACTTGAAGGAGAAAAAATGTTGTAGGAAGCACCAGGGTATATGAATCTACGGATTCAGTTCCGGATATACATATCGCCACAAAACAGACTATGTGGGCACTAAGCATTAGCGGCGTAGATGATGTGATCACGATAATAATAATAATAATAATAATAATAATAATAATAATAATAATAATAATAGTAATAACATATTTCTGCAAGGGCAGATGTACGTCATTTTTGCAGGCATGATGAGGTAATAATAAGGCAACTGATTGGTTTAGTTTCACCCAGGAAAACAAAATTAAGAAAACAGAGTGAGACCTCCGTGTCTGACAACAAGTCGGACTGCAGGGAGATCATTTCACGAAATAAAACTCCACAGAGTGTTAAGACGCACCTCAATGACAGGTCAGTTATTTTTTATAAGTTAATGGAATCTTCCGAAAAGGATCCAAAGGCTAGATTTGAGCACGACCTCAACCACATTAAGTCCTTAATAAGCAGGCTACTTCTAGAAACATTTTCAGAAGTTTGCATCTGTCAGCTTTATAGAATAGGACAAAACTGGACCCTGAAAGTACGCGGAAAAACCGCTTCCCAAATATTACCTTTGCTTCCGCTGAAGAAAGAAATTTAATACTGGGAATGTAACGCTATGTGATCACATCCTGAATATACACCCGTGAGCATCTCAGCATAACTAACCGATCGACAGAAGTAGAAATAAATGGGGACCGTCAAAACGGTGAAAAAACCTCGTACTTAATGGTCTCTAAACTGAAAACGTTCGAAGCGAAACGATCCCTGAACCATTTTGGGTGGTAAGGAAAGTTCTCCCCAGAATTGATGGTGCGCCACATAAATGCTCAGAGCCTACAAAATAGGATTGCGGACTTCAGACAATGTTGGACATAGAAAACCCGGGTGTCATCGCTATATCAGAAACCTAGTTAACCTCAGAAGTGTACGATAATGAAGTTCAGTTGGTTGCTTTTTATCCAGTAGAGCTGATACATTAAAGGATAAGGGAGGTAGGATTATCCTGTACAAAACAAATACATTAACCATACGAGCTGTCGAGACAGTGGTACATGATTCAGGGACATGTGAAGTGATGTTTTGTGGGTTGAAATATAAATGGCAGGACATGGAATTCGTTGTAGTATACCACAGTCCAGAATGTGTAGAAGAAAACGTCCTCTTAAGCAAACATAAGTCTTGGTGTATTAGCGGTAAAGACGTATTAGGCGACCTTATATTTATTCCGGAACACTAAAGATTCTACGAGATGTGACCTAAAACACTCGTCTCTTGGACCCAGTCTTCACACACGGTGATGGTGCCACTCAAATAATTTCCCTCCTAACTTTAAGAAGCATTTATGCGATTATGCAGTTGTAAAACATATAACCTATCCTTTTATACCCTGAACAGCCCCTATGAATGAGAAACACGGCTAATCTGGGATAGCACGGGTTATTTGACGTTTACTAAAACAAAAGATAAAATGTTGGAAAATCGCCATCACCCTTGGAACAACAGACATAACGGGACACTATAGGTTGGTACGAGATACAGGCGTAATTACTATCCGACAAGTTCAGTGAACAATTGAAATGAACTTGGCTCAATATGTAATCAAGCCCTCTAAAGGAATATTCCCGTTTATACATTAGAGAACAAGGACGTAGATTTAGATTCTTAACCTGATTACGGGAAAGATTGGATCTAAAATAACAGTGGATGACCAGGAAATGCAGAGTCTATTGAAGTCTACTTTGGATATACTGTCAGATCTACAGAATGCAGCTGTTCGTGTAATTCTAAAACTACGGGGTTCGCCATGAAAAGAGCGGTATGAAAAGATAGACCTCTTTACTTTGTTCTATCCCAAAATAAGATGTGATCTAGTTTTGTTGTATAGAATACTAAGAAATGATTTCGGACTTAATATGCCTTCTTATTTTTCTTTTCAACAGGTCGAGACACACCAGAGCACACAGTAGGTGAGTAGAAAATCCAAGAACGAACAACATACCCGTGGCATACTGATACTAATATCGGGTAATCAATTGTTGGAATCTGTTACCCGGAACGATGGTGTCCGCATTTTCAATCGACTCATTTAAGAAAAGATTAAGCACTCCTAGAAACCTACAAGAAAAGTAATAACATAAGCCGCAGGCTCTCTGTCCTTATGACACAAATCCGACTCTGAATATTTTGTATTACAAGACGAATAAATTCGGTTTGGTCAGTGTCTTTTCATAGCGCAACTTCAAGATTCCAGAACTCAACTTGAGAAGAACATTGAGTTGACTTTAAGGGAGGAAAAGGAGAAAACAGAAAAGACGCGCAATACGGTAATATTTTAATAAGCGTGTTTATGTATGCATCGCCGAATAAGTAACAAAGATAAAATAATACGAAATAAATAAAACAAAAAATAACTAAGAAAATAACGTAATAATGCATTAAGATATGACTGTAGAATGAGTGTTTGTGCAGTCATATTTTGGAGTGATGCTATGGAAGTCTCAATTAATTGCAAGCAGTAACCAAATATCAATATGTATGAGTCATTTATACACAGTGAACATAAAAAGAGTGTGAGGAGTTAATTTAAATGTAACACAAGTTATTGTCTTAATAAGAAGCTTCTGAATCTTAAGAATAATATTTATTCAGAAGGAAAATGGTGAGAGAGTAAAGGAATGGACAACTAATGAAAGGGTTCAACCATGATAATGATAATTGTGTTGTAATGAATATCGACCTCTGAAGTAAACCAACAATTTAAAAAATAAAAGTAAAATCCTTTAGTGCACTCGGATAAATACGTGTGGACTTATGTAATAGTATACAGAGTGAAACCGGATATAAGCATAAACATTTGTTCAATAATAATTTGGAATGATGTTATGAGAGTCACAATTAGTTGCAATGGATAATCAAATATAAATTTCTATGCGTTATATATATATATATATATATATATATATATATATAGTGAAGATAAAATGAATCTGAGAAGTTAATTTGCTTGAGTGTAACATGAGATAGTTTTTTTGTTTTTGGTCAAAGACTTTGGACGTTTAGGAATAAAATATGTTTAGAAGGAGAAGAAGAGATGAAAAGAATATCTAATGTGTTGAGGGACCAATAATGATACGCAAGTATATCTTCACCTCGATGACCAGATAGTCATCATATACTTAGAAGAACCTATTCGCAACTGTCAAACTCTAGATAATTCTGTTAGTTTTGGTAAGGCAGCAATAATAATAATATTGGTTTATTCTCAAATAGCAGTTCGTGATATGACGCATGCCAATTTGCATGCAGGATCAAACTGTTACAAAAGTTACAATTTTCACTCTAGTAAATTACTTAGTTGGGTTAATATTTTATAAGACATGAAAGTAGGCGTTTTTATTAAGACCAGTACTGTCAATATCACAATTTACAAGCTTTATGAAGGTTGCGTTGCGACGTGCAACTGATGGTCGAGGAATGAAACATGTGGAGTAAGATGCACTTGAGTAACAGTTTTGTGTTTTATCACTATACAAATGTTGGTACTGTCGAATTAAAAAAATCGATGACGATATAGGACTGAGAACGTAAACTTACATATGGCGAGAATGAGAACGTCCCCAAATTTAATTTTCTGGCATTCCATTAAATACTGTTTTCTAGCTAGAATATTTCGAGATGACAATGTGCTATTTGTTGACACCCAACCTGGAAATCCTTTATTTACATAAAAATTATAATAATTATAATAATAGTTTTGAGAAGTTACTCGAAATTTAATCTTCGCTACTGGTACGTTGCTCGCCTAGCAGTCAAGTTGAGTTCAGAATTTCAATAACAGCCTCCACTATGAGAATAATTTACATCGACAAACACAAATGGTTTGTAACACCAATAAGGAGTGGAATGCCTGGCAGCAGAAGGTTGAGGAGTTCGAACTAAAGAGAACAGGAATGTAAACAGAGAATAATTATAATATCAACTCCAATGAAGGAACGATAAAATTAGAGAGAGAGAACTGATGGATGATGTGGAAATCAAGTAGTTAATGTATGGTTTTTGTTGTCTTTATGGCCCTCAAGTTATTACGTAATTTCTTCGCCAATCAAAAATGACTTATTCGCTCTTGTACTGTATTGAACCAATGACGTTCGTCCGGTCTGATCAGCCTACCGTCCTACTGGTCCATTGCTCGCCTAGCCCGTCCAGTTGAGTCCAGAATTCCAATAACAGCCTCCACTATGAGTGTAAAATGTGATTGACAGACGAACCCACCAATAATAAGGGAAACGCCCACCACCACATCAACTCCTTTTGACTGTCTCTCTCTATTAACCAATCACACTTTAATGTTCATTGTAAAACAATATTGGCTTGTTGAATCATTTTTCCTATTTTCTGGCTACTGTTCGGCATGTTATTTGTCTCTCTTTTTCCCTGTATTAATAGAATGTACTGTTTGTTTATGCACTAACGATGGTAATTTATGTTTTAGAAACAGATAACGTTTATCTAGCCAAATAGCTTGCTTGTTCTGACTTTGGCTAAACCAAGACTCTGTACTCGATAGTCTAGAGATTAGCTTCGAGTTGAATCTGTGTGAAATTGCTTCCTACAATGAGAATAATTTATTTCAGATATACTTGGTGTGTATACCAGAAAAACAGACAGCACCACACCATAAAATAGGTAATAACATTTATACACAATAGAGCCAAAATGTGGCTGTGAACGTGGGAGACAGTAGTCAGTGAACTGAACATAACTTAGGAAGAGTAAATCGTACAATGATAATCTATAGGTCAAAATAAAGCTTATAATAAAGGGATTATAGAAATATATAATCTAATTACTGAATAGATATACCATAAGAATATATAGATGATATTAGTCCAATAATAGGTTTGAGAATTTACTCGAAATTTAATCTTCGCTAGGATATAACAGTTTCCTTATTTTGCCAAAGCACTATGTAATTGTACATCAAACAATAAATAGGTCTTCCCCACCGAGTCTTCGTTCACTATATCAGCATCGCACGATTTTACCATATCATATGATATCACCCGAAAAAACTAAAAATTTAGGTAGTCTGCAAGTGAGTGTCCGAGGGAACTGTTCAAATCTGGTTCTGAAAGTTCGATTCAAACGCATAATTAGAAGCCTATCGATGGAGGAAACATGTATCTAGTTTTCTTGACATTCTCGGTCTTTACTGTCTTCCCACTTATTTTGTTTTATATATATGTTTATACTACTTTTCAATATTCAGTAACCAGTTTCATTTCCAATAATTTCTGAACGTACAGTGCACTGTACGTTTATTTGTCGTGTAATTTTCCAAAGTATTTACATAAACTAATCATATTTATCATATGCATTATAAAGATTGCATTATCTTCGCCCTTGTAACAGTTTCTGACTGTTGTTTTTGCATTCCTCAAATGTTTGTTTGGGCAAGGCTTCCATACTCTTGTGCTCCTTGTCCTTATTATAAATACTGATTGCTGGCTTTGGACACAGCTACCACCTCTAATTTGTGTTATTCCATGTTACGATTAACCCTTATATCATTGCTGCTGTAGGCCTTTCTTTTCGCAGACGTACAGATACCTCAGGAGTTGAATTTTGTACCCGATCTATGCATACTTCGTGATAATAAAACCGTCTTTTAAATACATAATTGTTGTGTTGTTAGAGATTTCGGCAGATTTGGCACTAATCGTGACTTCTAATAATGACTACACCGACTTATTTTAACTTTTGAGCACACTAATGAGCAGTACATATGTCTTATGATACATTTTTATCTTCCTAATTATATCAACGTAATATGCATATGCGTCTTTAATGTATGTCTCTGTTATTCGTAGTGCAATTATTTCCATGAGATGTAATTATTCACCTTCACATGCTTACCTTGGAAGATTAAAACATGCCTGTCTGTTTATCATGTGTCCATCTACTAGCCTCCGCTTCACTTTAACCGTTTGAAACATATAATCTGTGGCACAAAATTGATATTGATGTGTTGCCGACCCGAGAGCTCTATCTTCAGTGTCTTCCCCTGCGTGTTAGCCTATTTTCAATGAACGTGTAACGGAAAAAACAAGCTGAAAATTCCTCCAGGGCATTTTATTACACAGTACTGTCAGTAATTTGTCACTTCTCCCTGTCTGCTATTTTAACCTTTATTCGGGACTTTCTTAACCGCACTTTATATTCTTCAGTCTTCTTCATCTGAGCTCTTATTATGTGGCTTTTGTTAAAGACATGCCTTTTGTTTCATAATTCAACTGTTGAATGTTGCCGACCTGTTGATAATAAGGCCGTGTTTGACGAAACTGAAGGTCAGGTCATGGTTCAGTGTATGACGGTCAAACTTTGACGGTCTGCTAGAATCCTTGTAGATAGATATCTGATCCCATATTGTTGGTAGTATTTTTATTGATTCTCAGGTATCTAACTCTTGTATTTTACCTACTTCTTTTGTTGATCAGCACGTTAGTTTGTACTAGAGAAACCCTTGACTGAATAGCTCAGGTTTTGTCGTCCGAGGTATTCTGCACTTTTGATATAGTTTATTCTCGTGTTCAAATTAGAACGGTCTAAATTGAAAAAAGAGTTTGTGTTTGAATAAAATTTAATGTGATTCGCTCGAAAACGCTTTCGTAATCTATACAAAAGAACGTCATCTGACCTAACCGAATAAACTTTCGTTCGTTAGTTCTACGTTCAAACCGGCTATTGTTATTTCGGTTGTTACAACACGTGTCCAAAATACTACTGGCGTTTTATTTTTTACTTCCCGTCGTTATCAATGAGACAGATCTATAGAATAATGATAAAGATAAGTTACGATCTGTATTTAGTAAGCACTATTCCATCTATTCATACAGCAGTTGATTCAATGTGCCAAATATTTCAAACCTACATTCTAAGTTTATTGCTGTTTTAAGGAAGATAGTTTTTTCTAAGCACTCATGTAAGATAAAAATGGATGTGGAAATGCACCATAAAATCTCAAACTCATTAACAATAATTGGATTCCAGCTTCTCGTTTGACATGGTTGAAAACAATGTGCGTGAACTTTATGAGATGTAAGTACAATCTTTGCATGATTTTGTAGCGGTAAATAAATCCCTAAAATAAATAGCTCTGTAAGTTTTCGACATTGGATGCTGACCATATGTTTTAGTTGACTCATCTAGCTGAAGGCGCTCGGTCAGGCATCCGCACCAGATCACGCGTGGTAACGCCGTGCTCAACATCAACCGCAATCGCTAGCCAGATTAGATCAGAGAATTTCGATATATTGATCATCGCCAAATATACTCTTCCGATCTCCTCGACTCTGTCTTTTGATTTCTCTGGGCGGGAACGAAATATATTAGAAGGTGTTACTGGTAGAAGCGTTGTCAAACACTGAATACCTGTGACATCATCAACTTACATGCATCAAATTTAACTGTGTTCAAACGAAAAAAGAGTATCCTTTTTAACACAAAAAATCTACACTGATCTCAATATCCAGTAGAATATTTCCTTCTTAATCTTGTTCAAGTTATTAGTTAGCCAAACTTGCCTAAGCTTGCTATCCAATATCTTAGATTTTTACTATAAGAGACTAACATTAGTGTACTTTAAGCTTTTATGCTACCCATTTTTATCCATTTTGATAGCACTATCTTTTTGCGGCTATTAAATTTCATTTCAATTCAGTTAACAACTAATGTTTAAACATGGACACGAATAACACGTGAAGGCGACCAGTCCGCCGTTAAGCCCTCATCTGTGGTGTGTAATTTGACTAATGCAATTGCTGCTTTCGCAATATAGAATAAACTTCACGCAAACTGCTTACTAACTTCTCAGCAAGCCAAATAGCGAAAACGTATGTAGTGCATGTTATGTTAATGCTAAAAACATGCTGACGAATAATATTTGTCTTCTGACAGGTTTACGAAAACGATTGCATGCAACTCTGCAAGAAAAAAGCTTGGAAACGGATAAACAATAAAAGGCTTGCATCTGGGGGCAGGCTAAGACGTGTGTAGAAAGGCCTGACAACCTTATTTTGTAAATAGTTTTCAATGTTATTTGTATTTATTTTGTCAACCTTCCACTGTATGTATATTTAACAATAAATGACTGTCACTGTTGTTTTAGTAAATGACCTTGAACACACTTTCCGTTGTTATTCTAACATAGCGTGACATATTCTTGCTGGCTAACAAATACATTACTACTCACACATCCCTCGTTCTATTTTCGTTTGTGATTGAGTTAGCTGAAGTCTAAAGCAAATATTATCATTATTTATAGACTGTAATTGGAATATATCACATTCTACGTGGGATTATATCACTAGAGAGTTCGTCAACCTGCTCAGAATCACCAAGCATTTATAATTGTGGATTTACATTACCGGACCTAACCAGAACACGCAACGTTTGATCAATTTAAGTAACGTCCCAAATTTTTATTGTATTTGTAACAATTGACTGTATATATTAATATTACTATTGATCTTTAGTAACTTTGTTTATACTTTTCGCGTTCATATCTGTCTGGTCCACCACAAACGTTTGGAAGTCGAACCTTCGAGGGTCACATGATTTCATTGGTTAGAATACACAAACCATCAAAACCAACCAAAATTCGTTCATGTAAACTTCACTAGTGCTGTTGCCGTGGAGGGTTATCTAATATCCAGTCACTTGAAGAAATTTGAGAACGCTATGGGCGGCCTGCTTGAGCATCTGGGCTACCTGTTCCTGCCATCTAGATATTTCAACAAGTTATCTATTGTTGTTTGGTTTAATATATCATTATGTTTATTAATCGCATAACCTATTCTGCTGCGTTTCTGAAAAGTGTACAACCTTTCGTTGTCAAAGTTACAGAAAACTCAATAAGAGACAATATGGTTGCTGGCAATGTACAACGAAAAGAATGTACATTATTCAGTTGTTCATTCACTGAAGTGCTAACATCTAACTGGCGATTCCTCAATATTTATCGCCAGGACCGACCAAGAAGAAAGAAACGGATACTTTGCGCTGAGAATTCTATATTGTACCAAAATTATAATATTGAATAAAGCTAATAATAATAATAATGCAGAATTTTCTACATTCAGAAGGCAGTCTCACAAGATAATCCTCAAGGAATCTCGCGAGATGTGCTTGCACGGAATGAACATTACTGTCCAAGTTATTCCAAGAAACATGAGCCACAATAATGCAGTCTAAAGTAGTTGGGAGTCGAAGTTGAGAAAACAGTCACTGAGGCTTGAGAATATTTTGGTCCCAAAAGTGGTGCAGTCAAACCTCCCTTTCATGCTGGAATCCTTAAACATCTGAACAGGCCACATAATGCAAGGACCAAGCAGAAAAGCAAGTTGACAAAGCGTGCAATAGACAGAAACTACATATTCGGAAAATCTTGTATGGGAAGTTTTCCTGGTCATATGAGCAAGTTCCATTCAGGCGAACAGCACGATGACACACATGCATTTTGAATCGAAAGCGTTAACTGCTTATATATGAGCACTGAGAGTTTACAACAGAAAAACGATGGATTGAGTGAAATGAGTAATGCTAATAATAATTATATGATGGAAATGTCTGAAACATGGGCATCTCAAGTGTTCTAATGGGGTTAATCCACGGCTCAGTACAAGGATCTCTTTTATTTTTTTAACCTAAATGACATTACTTCGCAGGCATCGCCTGAGCTATTGCGTATAGATGACGATGCGACACTGTGGCGAGGAGTTTTCAACCAGGACAATGAGCCAGCAGGCCGACAGGATATGACTCGATTTCAGAGTTCAGCGGATGACAGTTAGCTTCCTTTCTACACTTCAAAGTGTAAAGTGGTCCATCTGAGACATGTTGCGGATTACGCGAACAACTCAGGTAACTATTATCTAGAGGTTTATAGAGTAGAAAAAGATTTAGTAGTTTTTCCATCCTATATTCCAAACTCTTATAATGAATGCGACAATAAATGCTCCCGGGAAAACCTCGTAATAGTAACGTTGAAGAGACTTTTTGACCAACTTGATAGCAAAACTTCACATTCAATCTTCA